TTTTTTTTATTCCGGCCCGAAATAAAAATGGCCTTTTCGGCCGAAAATTTTCGGTGGCCGAAATTTCGGTGCACCCCTAGTATCGACGTAACCTGAAAGGCTTGTCAGTGAGGAAGAAGCCACTGCTCCAAGACGCCATGAAAAAGACAGACTACGGTTTGCGGCTGCACATTGGGACAAAGATCCAACTTTTTGGAGAAACAAAACTTGAACTGTTTGGCCATAATGGCCATTGTAATGTCTGGAGGAAAAGGGGAAGGCTCACAGGCCGAAGAACACCATCGCATGGGGGAGGCAGCATCATGTTGTTGGGGGGTGCTTTGCTGCAGGAGGGACTGGGGCACCTCACTAAACAGATGGCATCATGAGGAAGGAAGGTGATGTGGATATGTTGAGGCAACATCTCAAGACATCAGCCAGGAAGTTCAAGCTTGATCGCAAATGGGTCTTCCAGCTGGACAGTGACCCAAGGCAGACCTCCACAATTGTGGCCAAATGGCTTCAGGACAACAAAGTCCAGGCACTGGAGTGGTCATCACATCGAACTATGTGCCAACAAGGAGGCCTCCAAACCTGACCCGGTCCTACCAGTTCTGTCAGGAGGAAGGGGCTGGAACTTCAGCAACTTATTGTTAGAAGCCTGTAGAAGGCTTTCCGAAATGTTTGACCCATGTTAACCAGGTTAAAGGCAACGCTACCACGTACTACCGAGTGTATGTAAATGTCTGACCCACAAGGAATGTGATAACAGAAATAACAGCTGAAATAAACCGTGTTCTCTACTATTATAATGGATAAAGTAGTGACACTAACTGACCTGAGACGGGGAATGTTTATAGGACTAAATCTCATAAGTTGTGAAAAACCGAGTTTAAATGTATTTGGCTAAGGTGGATGGAAACTTCTGAATTCAGCCTTATGTTTCACTGCTACTGTCAATCCCTGCAGGGCCGAAATGCTGAGGAGCAGGTGAAGATGATCCAGCAGGTGGTGATGTATAACAGCACGTTACCACGGCAACAGAGAATCACCATCTCCGTAGAGATTGAGAAAACCAGAGAGATGCTGTATCAGCTGTTTGCTCATGGCGACGTGGTACGAGTTCCTACGAGAACTGGTTTTGGCTAGCTCAACTTGCGCATGATAAAAACTAACACAATGCAGCATGTCCACTCCGATGGCAGAAGTCAGTTCACCAAGTGTTCTCGTGTCCGCAGGTGTTTGTAAGTAAAGATGTCGCTCGACACTTCGGTTACGAGTCGGCTGAAGCTGCTCTCAGAGGTTTCTACAGCCGGGTCAAAGCAGGGTGAGTGGGGGTCCAGCCATTTCTCTCTCACTCGTCGGTCTCACCCGTCTGTCTCTTTCCCACTTGTCTGTGTCCCACCTGTCTTTCTCTCTCACTCATAGGTCTCACCCGTCTGTCTCTCTCTCCCCCACCTGTCTCTCACCCATCTGTCTCTCTCTCACCCGTCTGTGTCTCTCTCTCTCTCTCATCTGTGTCTCACCCACCTGTATGTCTCACCCGTCTGTCTCTCTCACCCATCCGTGTCTCACCCATTTGTCTCTCTCTCACCTGCTCATCTCTCACCCATCTGTCTCTTTCCCACCTGTCTGTCTCACTCGTCTGAATCTGTCCCACCCATCTGTCTCTCTCTCACCCGTCTGTCTCACCTGTTTCTCTCTCTCACTCCTCTGTCTCTCGCTCCCCGTCTGTGTCTCTCTCTCTCACTCGTCTCTCCACGTCTGTGTCTCTCATCTGTTTGTCTCACCCGTCTCTCTCGCAGGGCTGTCCTGGTCTGTGCCTGGGCAGAAAAAGGAGCGGATGCCTTGGGTCCAGATGGCGTGATCATTCATTCAGATGCTTTTCCTCCTGAAGCCCTGGTCGACACTCTCGGAGCCGGAGACACATTTAATGCCGCCGTCATCTACACGCTGTCCAACGGTGCGACCTGTGGCGAACTGGACACAGATCACATCTGTTCTGTGTGCTCAGTACTTTTGTAGTTTCTCCAAACTGTGTAACTTTCTTAAAGACATTTATATTTCGCCCGTAGGTGGAAGTCTGCAGGACGCGCTGACCTTCGGCTGCAGAGTCGCCGGCCGAAAGTGTGGTTTCCATGGTTACGATGGCATCAGCAGAGATTTTACTGAGGACTGGACAAAGAGTTAAAACCGGGTTGTTCAGATTCAGAGACGTGAGGTTATGCTGTAAAAGAGGAGTGAAGTTAAAAGACCAACCAACACTCATGAAGAAATAGTGACAGATTGTTTCAGCACTCAGTTTGTATTTAGTACATGTAAAATAATTATCCTTTTCAAGTGAACTTTAACAGAAAACTACAACTAATCCAAGGAGAAAGAGCTGCACTTTTACATTAATATAATTAGTATAATTTACTGACCATTGAGGTTGGTTAACAGTCACCTGTTTACTCTGTGATATGATCAATACCTGACTTAACTGCTAAGAGGTTACTATTAACTGATAGACTGATATTACTTGATCATTTACAATAAACAAGCTGTTAATAAAATGGTTACCTGTTAACTTTAATGAAGTAACTGCTGTATTATTTTTAATTAATGACAATAAAATCTGCCAAACTGATCAGTGACCAACTGGAGTGAATCCTGACACTGTTCATCAGTTCCTTTGGTGTCCAGTTTATCGCGGGGCAAACACACAGAGAAACACACCTACAACCAGTCTAGAGTCGCCAGTCAACCTAACCTGCATGTCTGGACTGTGGGAGGAAGCCGGAGTGCCTGGAGGAAACCCGGGTGGGGGACTGGGCAGACTGGGCAGACTTCACACAGAGAGCCCCTGGTTGGCCGCCAGGTTCGAATGCAGAAACCTTTCGCTGTGAGGCCCCACTGCTAACCGCTGCCCATCAGTGTTCATGTTTTAATTTTAGTCGTTGGACAAAAAGGCCATTTGATTTTTAATACGCTTTAGTCGACATGAAAACCATCTTTGTTGTGTGCAGTTACCATGGTTACAGGTGTCTCAGTCTCCATGGTTACAGCAGCTGTTTTGTTGTCAGTGTGCATCTGTAAAGCCATTTCTCATAGCACTTCTCCCTGCTCACCCAGCGTCAGCATTAGCACAGCCATGTGCTAATGCAGTGTTGATGCTGAGTTATTGCAGTTTGATTGTTTCAGTGTTTACACAAACAAGTCTTTCTCTGCGTAAAAACGCCTGTTACTGTGACAATCAGCAACCATCAGCTGGTGATTAACGGTGAGATGAAATAACAGGCTGTGAACAGTTCTGGTTTAGTTTTAGTTTACTCAGCACAGTTACATGATGAGGAACCTAGAACCACAATCATCACATACAGGTGTCACATGAAGGTTACAGTACAATGAAGTAACAGATGATGGAGAAGCCAACAGGGCAGTGCAGAGCGAGGGCAAATGACCAGGTTCAGAAAATAATTTGTTCCTGTTGCCGTCAGTCTTCTAAGTGACACTTGAAATGATTGTCGCTAGTGTTGTGTGTTTGACTGTTTATACTACTGACTGTGAATCAAATTACCCCCCGGGGATCATAAAGATACCTTAAACCTTGCTCTATTGTGGACTCAGTCTGACTTCCCAGCCTCCTCTATCCCACAGCTGCCACACCCCTCTGCCCACACACTGTTACACAATACTTCCTGTGTTAGAATAGAGCTCAAGGTTAGCATTACATCATTAATTAATACAATAGGTTTTGCTGACACATAAATGTTGTTTACAGTCATTCAGACACCTGTAAAATCTATTCCCATATGTTTCCCTGTGGTTGCCATGGTTACATGGCATGTCAGCAGCAAGGTTGAACCATCATGAACTCTGACGGCAGCAGCCAGTCACTGTCTGAAAACACCTGCAGTTACATTGTCACAGTGTCACTTCACATAATGTGTCTGTCTCATACACAGCACCACCAGTACACACTCACTGCTGCATGTGTGTACTTTGCATTATTTAGATGTTGTTGGTTTCTCTCTCGGTGGTCCCTGCGATCATTTCTCTCAGTCCTTTGCTGAAGTGAAGATTCGCTCCAATCACAATAAAACCCTGCAGAGATCAACGTAGCCACTGTCAACATCAGGGGGCGCCACTGAGTGCTGCTGTAGAACATTGCATGGTGCCACCTCATAATAATCATAATAATAACCTTTATTGGCCAAGTATGTTACACACAAGGAATTTGTTTCCGGTACAGAACTGAGGTAGCCATCTGCGGCGCCAACTCAACCGATGGCTCTAACCATAGAGTTAGGCTCTAACAATAGGGGGCAACTTGGGGGTTCAGTGTCTGACCCAAGGACACTTCAACATGTGGACTGCAGGCCCCAAGATTCGAACCTCCAACCCTCCAGTTGGGAGACGACCGCTCTACCCACTGAAACACAGTCGCCCCGTGTGTAGATATGTGTAGACAGACTTACGTTATGATATTCAACCACCTCCTCAACGAAATCCATCCCATCAGCCAGAGGGATCTGAACACCCTTCTTTGTCCAGTCTGAACACACAAACATAGTCACCACAGTACAGTCATCACAGTGTCACCATGTTTCACAGCTGACGAATCATGTTCTTACTGTTGATTAGAGGAACCACAGACATCTGCAGCATGGTTTTCAGGGGAGCCTGAAGAGGAATCAGCTGACAGAGATAGGAAGTTAGAGACAGGTGATGTAAATGATGCTCTCTTTGTGACTGCTGCTGGTCAAAACACCACATGTACTGTGTGAAGGCAGATTATACACATCTATGCATCCATGTAGCAGCTGCACTATGTAGTACAAGACAAAATAGTACAACACCACTTACTGCCAGAGACTCCAGAGCTGATTGGTTGGAGAAGATTTTAAACCTGAAAAATGAAAAACGTTTTCAGTCTGACTGAATATAGCCACAAGTGTCACTGAAGCATGTTGCTGATAAATACACACACATGACAAGAGTGTGTGAACACTGTGTACAACAAGGAGGACCAGGAAGATGCACAAACCAAAGTCACCGAGCTGGATTCAAATCTGTGCCGTGTACTGACATCATACGGGCACAAGGTTGAGAATGTTTAACAGACATGAAACATGAATTCTACAAACAACCAGTTACGTACTGCTCTGGAAAAGAGAGTGAACAGCCTAGAAAGCTGTAAAGCCCAGTTCAGGCTTCCATCTCATGAGCCGCTCATATTGACATGTATTCCGAAGATGATACTGTCTGGTACCACATGCGTCGGTAGACTGAAAACTAAACTAAGGGAGGTATAAGCATAAATTTCTACTGTAACGCAGATGATACTCAGTTATATTTTGTCTGTGAACCCAGATGAATCAGATCAGTCGGTCAAACTTCAAGCATGTCTTAAAGACATAAAGGCTGGAAGACCTGTAATTTCTTATTTCATTGTGCTTGGGCCTGAAAACCTTAGAAATCTGCTATCTAATCATACAGTTACTCTAGATGGCATAGCTCTCACCTCCAGTCTGGTCCTGCATGTGGCTCTGACTCAAGCAACAGACCTCCTCGGGGGAAGGGTTTCCATTCTGATCTTCTGGTGTCCTCACTCTATCCGGTAATAAGACCAGCAGCCCACAGGAACCCAACCCAGTGTGTGTGTGTGTGTGTGTGTGTGTGTGTGTGTGTGTGTGTGTGTGTGTGTATATATACCTGCGGAGGTCAGCACGAACAGCCAGACGTTTTCCTTTCATAGAAACTTTGGCATTAAACGTAGTTTCCTGCAGGGGGAGAAGAGCTGACTTTCAGTTTCTGTGTGTGTATGTCTCTATAGTTGTGAGGACAAATCTTAATTTGAAACCCCCACTGTGAGGACATATTGCCTGCTCCTCACACCTTCAAAGGGCTGGGTTCAGAACCTGGTCCAGGTGCTCAGGGTCAGGGTTGGGCTTAGAGATTTATGTAGGTGTAACAGTGAAGGTGAGGGGATGGGGTAAAGGGATGGGTTATGTCAACCAGGATCCTCATAACACTGGAGAGGTGTTTACCATGGTCATGCTGCTGAGCTGGACCGGAGGCTGACCTGGAGGCAGAACCATCACCTTGATGATGGCCGTCATGGTGACTGTCGCTCCAGACGTCTTGATGGAAGTTTTTGGAGGTGAGGTGACAGCAAGCTGCAGTGAGAGCGGAGAGTCCACCAAGGTCGGGTTCTATCCAGAATGCACAGCGAGAATGTGAAGAAAAACAGATACTACACAGTACTCCAGTGGTATACACTGATTTTAAACTGAACAGACTGGTCCCATACGGTAGATATTAAACTGGCCATACTGGTCCCATATGGTAGATACTAAACTGACCCGACTGGGCCTACAGCCCTCCAACTGTTGCAGTATCCTCAGGGAATAACAGGTTACTTCCTCTGGTGACAACTCTGCACTACATTTAGCGGCAAACCCTTTCTACTGTGTGTCCATTATTTTCTACTGTGCTACTGTGTTTCTGCTCACCAGCATCACGATGGCTCCAAAGTAGGTGGTTCTCAACAACATTTCCAAATCTTTGGGCATCTGAAAAACCAAGAAGCAGGCATGATGTTCAGACAGGATCAGTTCTGGGAGAACAATGTGTACCGGGGTGTGTGCTGGTTGTGACCTTCTCATTGACGATGTGCATCTGGAGAACAACCCGCTATCAAAGAAGAACTCGGACAGGGCAAGATAAACCATCCTGTCGTACTCTCTGATGAGCGGATCGACGGCGTAGTTCACCAACGTGTGGTTCTGATGGGAAAGGTCGAAAAACATCCCCTGCACACACAACACACACCGAGTTCTTATCACGTCACACTGGATCATAACTTATTCTACCTAATGATCTAATGTAAACTGACTGACCCTGAAATGCATGTCAAGGCTCCTGGATGTCACCACGGGATCCTCGATCAGAGAATAATCAATCCCAATAAACTCATCAACCTCTGTCCTCACAGGGATCGTTTCCAACATCGAGTTCACATGAACCAGAGCAGCGTGATTCAGAACTGGACAAATCTAAGAGAGAGAGAAGGGTCAGAGAGGGCGACAGAGAGACAGGTGGGACAGAGAGACAGGTAGCAGACCTGCTGGTTGAGGAGGAGCCGCATGCCTGTTGTCAGAAAGCTGGACAGGAAGTCATACACTCTCCTGAAGAGAGAAAAAACACAAAGGTGATGACAGACAGGCTTCCTGATTGGTGGCGCTCAGTTCACATTACAACATGGTGAAACATAACAGTTTCTTGGTCAGTGATTGTTGATAACTGGAACACAATGAGTAGAAAACAAGGTTCTTTATCTTATTCACACATCAGCCATTTAACCAGTAATCGAGAGCAGTCGATTCATCGTAGCAGTCAGTAGTAATCAATAATTATCTGTTCGTTTTACCCTAGTGTTCCACTGAACTTCGCCCTCATTTTGGCGATTCTGGCATCACAGGTGATGTTATTGATCTTCAGCCGTCCTTCATCATCTCTGATCAAGTTCAGAGCCGTGTTGATGTTCACGCCTTCAGCCGACGCATTGATGTTTCCTGTGTCATAACTGAGACAATGAACAAGTCCCCGATGATTAGAGTGCACGTGCCATCATCATCAGTTACGTGTGTTGTTCTGTGGGGGAACTCACAAAAACCAGTAGAGGATCTGTCGGTTGAAACTCAGCGAAATAGATGAGTTCTGAACATCGAACAACAAGCCCACTTCAGGGATGAATTGCAGGTTGGCGTGAGTCAGATTCAACTCTGTTATCTTCACACTGACAACAGACCAGACAGAGTACTTACACACCTCGAGTATCCAGTGTTGAAGTATTACTTTAAATATAATGTAACATTCATACTCAGTGATGCTGTATTGGAAGTGTCCTTCAGTGCCTTTCATCTCCGGCATACTGATGTTACCGAGCTCCTCTTCAACAAACTTCTGTGTCTCAAACTTCACTGAGAACACAGAAAATTGTGTTACTACTTCAGAGATTACATTTGAGGGCAACTGCTCAGAGGTTGGTAAGAACATGCCGGTGAGCAGCAGTGAGGGAAACCTTCCAGGCTGATCGCTCAGGACATCACTGCCACCACCACCTGGGTGCTGGAGGAGATAGTGGAGGCCACGGTCAGTCAGCTTCAGTCTGCTGTCCAGCTGTCACATGACTTAGGAAGAGTTAGTAGATTTGGCGCGTTTCAACGGGAAGGAGACCTGCCGAACCTGCTGGCCCCCCCATGATCCTCTCCTCTCCTTTTCCCCTCTCTCCTCTCCTCCCCTCCTCTTCTCTTCTAACCCTGTATCAAACTGTAGACACTCAGAGGGAGCTGATCCTAAAGGGGCTGTGGGAAGACCTCAGGATCCTCCAGAAGGAGCTACATAATGTTGCTGAGGAGGGAACATCTGGACTACCTCATTTAGCCGCTCCCACACCTACTGTTGAACCTAACTTAAATATGAACCAAATCTTATATCTGGGTTGTAGTTTAAATCTGGATTATAACAACAAATCCATGTACTTACACATCTCCAGTCCTTTGTCAGTGATGCGGATTTTGCAGCCAGCAGGTTCAGC